GCAGAAAGACGCAACTTCTGAACGCCCTTTCCTAGCCTGACTAGAGCTAAGAGCAAGGACTTCCACGCAGACCTGGTGGAGGAACTTCCCACTGAAAAATCCACATGCATATCGCATAAGGCCATGTATGATCTGGCCTTGGTGCTTCGTCAGGCAACCTTCGGATTTGATTCCCATCAAGAGCTCTACCAAGCGGTCGATGCGACCAGGCTTATTCTCAAGAAGGATGGCTCCTTTGCATATCTCTTCCAAGTTCAGTGAGCAGCCCAGCACCTGAAAAGATGGTTTGAAGGGTAAAGCCTTTGTACCCGTCGTAGCATGGCGCCATCCAAGAAGGTCCAAAAGTTGTGACGCCGCTGCATCAGCATCGTCGGCCTGCGACTCAGGAGAAAACATTGGGAAGTCGTCGTAAAAGACTCCGCAGGGAATACAAAGCATCTTATTCAGAAGAAACCATAAACTGCGGGACACCCGATTGAAACTGTAAACCGCTGCACTGGCTCCAAACATCAGGGAGTTGGCAACAAAGAACTTTGGAGCACCATCCTGCCCATGGAAAAAGATCACCGCTAAGTGCCGATTGCTGGGATGTATGGCCATCTGTTTGTATGCCTTGCTAAGGTCCAAGCACTTCCCGAGCCACGGCTCAATGCCAGGCCCGGCGCCCTTTTGAGTCAGGCGCTCCGCAATCTTTAGCGCCAAGCCAGTGATATAGTCAATGTCCTGCAGCTTCAGGTACGAGGTAACAGTGAAAGCATGGTTCAACTGAGCCTCCAAGCAGTCGTCAATAGGGCGCAATTTCATTTCTGCCCCTTGTACCAAAACAAACCTGCGCACAACACACCAATCATCCCGACCCAGGTAATTGGTCACCTCGGTCTCAGTGCTGAATGGCCCTTCCAAAAATCCAAGCTGTAACTCTTCTGCCGCTGTGGTTTCCAAATGCTCCACATGTGTCGGGTCGGCCTGCATGGATCGGCCAATTGCTGCTCTACGTCGCCAGACTGCTGATGCTTGCAAATCCTCAGCAACCAGAGTGGCCGGTCGCAAGAGGGGAGGGTAACACGGTGGAGCATCTTGCACTCCGACCAATTTGACTCCCTCAAACATGAAGGGAACCACGCCCATGTCATCGTATCCGTATTTCTCAAGCAACCCTTTCCACAAGAGAAGTTGTTTACCCTCAAGAACCTTCGCCAGAGAGGGAGGCAAGGCTTGGTGTAACTCTCGCTCAGCACCAGCAAGCTGTACAGACATCAGCTTAGCTTGTAAGAGATTCTTCTTTCGTTCAAGCTTCACCACATGAGTAGGGTATTGAAAAATGAAATCAAGCGCACTCTTGGTAACACTTTCCAAATGGTCAGTTGAATCCATAGGGTGTTGAACTTGATGTGCTCGGGACAAAAACTGCTTTGGGGTATGTAAAAACATCTTTTGTAACCACAAAGCCTGCGGAAATTGCGCACGTATTGGTCCATGCTTCTTGCATGCATTTGGTTTCTGCACAAACTGTCTGTTCCAGTTTGGAGTAGTTTTCAACTAGCAAACTGTTACACATGGCTATGTATAGGGGGTTGAGTGCACTGTTCACATCTCTATACCCCGCCTTTGGGTTTTGAGTGGTTGTTCACTCATATCCCAAACTAGAGTGAAATTACCTACGGTAAAACACAGACTAGTTCAAACCAAAATCCAAGAGGACATCGTGTATGTCCCAATGCATACGGGCCTTGGATTTGTTATTGCAAACAACAGCTTGTATCACTCTGAAACACTGCTATGTGAAACGGTCAACATGAGATCAGGTTAGCTCATGTCTGACTCCCTCTGCAAAGTGGAAATCTTTTGAGCTCAGCAAGATCAAGTTAGCTTGCTGCAGCTATGCCTCACCCAGTAGGATCAGGTTAACCTACTGCGGTGGTTCATTTCTCTCAGCATCTCCAATGTCTTCGATGGGAAGCTTGGAGTAGCTGTTCCCCATTGACTCGGATCATGGCTTCGTCGTGCCATTGCTGCCACAGCTCACCATCTGACACCTCATGGCGTTCCAGAAAGCTATACCTGTGACGTTTTTCCTCAATTGTTTCTGGTCCATCTGAGTCTGATGGGTCTGTAGCTGCTTCTCCGTCTGGTTCACTTTCATTCGATTCATTTTCATCTCCAACATCTCGCTCTGAACTTTGTTCTCCATGAACATCATGCCAATAAGCAGGGTCTGAAACTTCAGATACCGTCGATTGTTGGTACCTTGAAAATCTTCCCTCAGCAGATTCTATCTGTTCTCCATCGCTGTCAAGTAAGCCATGGGCATGGCATTTGGGGGTTTCATTTGCATTTGGGGGCTTCATAGTTGGCTACCCTCTGTTGAATGCTATGGGTTTCTTCTTGCCACCTTCTGTGGCACAGACTGCTCCTATTTGCTGCAATGCAAAGGGGCTTCATAGTTGGGTTACCCTCTGTTGAATACTATGGGTTTCGTCTTGCCACCTTCTGTGGCACGGACTGCTCCTATTTGCTGCAATGCAAAGGGGCTTCATAGTTGGCTACCTCTGTTGAATACTATGGATTTCTTCTTGCCACCTGCTGTGGTACTGACTGCTCCCACCTGCTGCAATGCAAAGGGGTTTCATAGTTGGCTACCCCCTGTTGAATTCTGTGGATTTCATCATGCTATCAGCTGCAGTAGTGCTCTGATGTCAGAACCTTTCTTCTTCAAATAAAGCAAATCCAAATCGATGTTTCAAATTTATCAGCACTGTCTTTCAAATACCAATTTTTTTTCAGTGTTCAAAAACATTTTGCGCCTGCTCAAATGTTTTTAAACGAGCAGGGGAAAATATTGCAAAAACATTCAATTTTCACGAACTGACTGGCAGAATCTGCTCTGCATTCAGACTTGAAGCATCAACCAGGGAACTTTCAACAACTTTGCGCTGAAACGTCATCATAGTCGAGATATTTTCGTTTGCTGAAACATTCGGTTGGTCATATGACTGTGTGTGATCACCCGTGGTGCCTTGTTGCTTCCATTGCTTCCTTTCAGAGGGAAGCTTTCAATTGTGTCTGATGTTCTCTTCCTCCACTTCTGGATCCTTCTTCGTGGGCAACAGGCAGGCCAATTTATCAACTGACTATATAATCAGACTTTGCATCGATGATTCAGCAGCTTTAGCTTTGCATGTTCGATGATGAAATATGGTCGTTTATCACCTAATGACAGGATCGCACTTTGGATGGACGAGTATGAGGCAGGGTAAGTTTCAGTTGTGAGACTGAACGCTGCAGTCCTTTGGAATTGTTTCTGTCTGTTTCTTTCTAAGCATTTGACTGCTCAAAGTAACTGAAATCTGCCTCAGCGTACTGTGCCATGGTTTTGGGACAGAATACAATCGCAATCGTGGACTTCCTGGAGTCAGTGAAGCATGACCGGGCATGCGCTGTGTGCTACCATGCGTATTTGTGCAAATTTTTGTCGCCGAAAGAAAGGTGGTGTTTGCTGCAAACAGCATGGGACTGTGGCTGTGACTATGGAGGTCAAATCACCACTTCCAAGCAGAAGAAGCAAGATTTCAGCATAGCATGCCTTCATGAAATTGAAGAACTTTCGGCCCCCTTGTCAGATGACAGTCGTTGAGTTGACGTGTTGTCAGTTGTTAGCTGTGAGTTGGTTCTCATCAGTTGTCAGATGGGACAATTCTTTTTAATTTGTGCCTGTGTGTTTTGACACATATTGTAGATGCATCAAAGGGAAAACGAGGCCTCACCAGCTGCAGCTGCAGGATTTGTTTCGTTCAGCATTTAAATGATTTTCTATGCATTACAGCAAATTGGATTGGTCAAGTTTTCTTTTCTTTGTGTCGTTGCTGGAACAGGCGTTTCCTGTGACTTCTTTCCGTACAAGGCATTCAGTGGTTGTCAACCTGTGAAATGTCTGTAAGGATGGCTTCCAAAGAGAGATCAATTTTCTGAAATTTTCTCTGTTGGATGCATGTGGCAAAGAGTTTCCAACCGGTTTTGCAGGAGACATCCAGAAGCAGCCATTGCAGTGAGGCTTGTCTGGGCCCCAGTTGCAAGATGCCAGATGCAGGATGTGGCTTTTCCACACGCACTGTTTGGCATTTTTTGGCAATGTTTCCATTTTTTTGCCTTGCTTGCTGTTTAATAGGAATTGCACCCTGGCACTCTGGCTTTGCACATTGGCTTTGAAAATGTTTGAGGCTGTGCCCCGATGTTCTGCATTCACAGGAGTTGTGAGCTCAGATCCTTGATCCAGAGTCATGTCAACAACTGGCAAGTGACACTCATTTTTCATGTCTCATTTGACCCACTTGCACCTGAAACGCAACATCGTGCAGTTGACTGTGTATTTCCACTATTAGTACAGTTGAGTCACTGAATTGTTTTGCAGATATTCTTCAAGCCGTTTGTGACAGAGGTCACCATGCCTTGCAGCTGTTTCCTTCCATATCCTTCCATTTCTTGGCAGGCCTGACATGTTTGATGCCTGTTTCTTTGACCCCTTCGACTGCTTTGACTGACATCTTGATGCATTTGGTTGCTTTGGGTTTTTCATCAGACAATCCTGTCAGGCATGCGCTTGGTCACTTCCCCCTTGTCAGTTGTCCGATGTGAGTTGTCAGATGTGAACTAGCAAGGAACTCAGCAAGGATTGAGATTGCATTAGCTGTGGTTTGAGCTTTCTGTGGTCTTCAAATTTGTGCTTGACTTTGTCTCGGAAATGACTGAGTTGTCTTTTAGCTCCATTGCTTCAAGTGCAAAATGTGTGTCATGCCTTGGTTTCTGTTCTGCAGGAGCATTTTGGTCATGGTCAAGATCACGACTTGGAGATCGAAACTGTCTTCAGTCCAGGGCCCAGTTTCCAGTTCCAGTGATGAATCCACCATAATGGGGAGATTGCTTCTTCAGAACTGCTAACTTTGACCCCTTTGATTTGTGTGGCTCAAGTTAAACTAAGTTGTCAAGCTCCTTTCTTCTTGGATATGACGCTGCCTGAACAAGCAATTTTGATTCGGCAGCCATGGGTGGACCGAATTTTGGAACCCAATGAATGTTTTCGGAAGACTTGGGAGATAAGGTCGTTTGCCACGCAAAAACGTGGCAAATTTGCAGTCGCAGTCGTTGGGGAGAAACACATTCTCGGTGAAGTTGAGCTCACAGACTGCTTTCAAGTCGCCGAAAAAGTTGATGGCTGTTGGTGTCCGGTGTCAGATGAGGCTCCCTTCCTCTTTGATCCTGACAATGCAATAAAATGTGGCTTCGACATGGAAACAATGCCAGATTACTTTGCAAGCAAAAGCAAATTGTTTGCATGGGTGCTGCGCAATGCTCGCCGGTATGACCAGCCTATCAAATGGTCAAAGAAAGATGGTGCTGTGGTTTTTGCCAATGTTGAGTCTGACAAGAGCAAGAAAGACAAGAAGACCGACAAGAAGCACAAGAAAGATAAAACCAAGTCGGTGAAAAAGAATGAGAAGCCATGAGATGTCAGATGCCAGATGTGTATTGTGGATGCCAGATGTAAATAGTTTTTGTGTCAGATGCCAGATTTTGTGTGGCTGGATGCCAGATGTAAATAGTTTTTGTGTCAGATGCCAGATTTTGTGTGGCTGGATGCCAGATGTAAATAGTTTTTGTGTCAGATGCCTTGACAATCATTGCTGCACTGCTGGGTGTCAAAAGCTGGCAGGCTGACCTTCAGTTTGCAAAATCAAGCCACGTTCAAGTTCAGATGTCTTCTTGTGTTTGTTGCTTACTGTGATACTGGCCGAGGCAAAGGACTTGCTCTATGGCCTTCTTTGTTTACAAGGCATTCGGTGGTTGTCAACCTGTGAAATGTCTGTAGGGATGGTTTTCAAAGAGAGATCAATTTTCTGATTTTTTTCTTTGTTGGATGTATGCGGCAAAGAGTTTTCCAACCGGATTTGCAGGAGACATCCAGAAGCAGCCACTGCAGTGAGGCTTGTCTGGGCCCCAGTTGCAAGATGCCAGATGCAGGATGTGGCTTTTCCACACGCACTGTTTGGCATTTTTTGGCAATGTTTCCATTTTTTTGCCTTGCTTGCTGTTTAATAGGAATTGCACCCTGGCACTCTGGCTTTGCACATTGGCTTTGAACATGTTTGAGGCTGTGCCCCGATGTTCTGCATTCACAGGAGTTGTGAGCTCAGATTCTTGATCCAGAGTCATGTCAACAACTGGCAACTGACACTCATTTTTCATGTCTCATTTGACCCACTTGCACCTGAAACGCAACATCGTGCAGTTGACTGTGTATTTCCACTCTTAGTACAGTTGAGTCACTGAATTGTTTTGCAGATATTCTTCAAGCCGTTTGTGACAGAGGTCACCATGCCTTGCAGCTGTTTCCTTCCATATCCTTCCATTTGTTGGCAGGCCTGACATGTTTGATGCCTGTTTCTTTGACCCCTTCGACTGCTTTGACTGACATCTTGATGCAATTGAATTGGCTACTTGGTGATCTTTGTTGCAGCACCTTTGCTCTGCACAAGCGGTTTTGGGTTCGCAGTGATCATGGCAGTGATGAAAGTTATGAAGAAGCCAGCTTCGTTGAAACCACCCAAAAAGAGACTTGGCAAAGCTGTCCTGAGATGTTCCGTTCACCATGCGCACTACTGTTTTGGAATTCCATTCTTGGGTTTCACAGGAAAAGCACTGGTACACTGAGCTTGCCTGATGTTTTGCTGCCAAAGTTGAAGAAGTACAAAACTCTGTCCAAGCAGCGAAGACTCTCATGGATTGACTCAGGTGTCTCGCAGTAACTGTTTCGTTGGTTCTATAACTCCAGTGGAAAATGATTCAGTGATTGGTTTGGAGCTCTGACTGTCTTGTCTGCAGCTGAGTCTACGAACATCGCATCTTTCCAAGTGGGTATCCTGCGAGAGATTGGGATGTCCAAGATGTGCAGTTCTCGAGACTTGGTTATGGTTTGTTGCACTTCGTGATTTGATCATCATGCTGATTTCACATGGTTTGTCCAATGCCCGTCTGAGGATCCGTGAACATATTGACTACACTGCAGCCCGCTTGCACACAACGGCAAGGCACTTGGATTTGTGTCATGTCCTGTCAGACACACTGTGTGGCTCCATGACTTGCTTGGAGGACGGACATCTATTCGCTACCCGGTGCAATGGTGACGGTTTCTTGTGTGACGGTTTCTTTATAGTGTATGGTTATTGTTTGTCTCTCAGGTATTGCGAGACCTTTCGCAACAAGCCTGGCAGATCAAGGGCTGATCGAGATGAGAGGGGTAAGTTGAAGTTCATGAGGGAGGTGTTCTTCGTTGTTCTGCTTGTGAGGTACAACTTGCGTGATATGCAACTTGTTTTGCAACGGATGTTTTCTGTGTAGAAATGTGTTGCAAATCATTTTCAGTTCAATGTGATGATGCTTTTCTGAACCTGAAGCGTCACTGTGTTGCTGCTGGTTTGAGTGCGATGTCCAGTAGAGTCAGGTATGGTGATGATGATGATGTGTAGCTGTACAAAGTTGTGGATGCCCGATGATGCCAGATGGATCAGACAGTTGTGGATGCCAGATGATTTCAAAAATTGAGCGGTAGAGTGCAGTTGTGGATGCCACATGATGCCAGATGGATCAAACAGTTGTTGGTCTGCTTGTTTTCCAGCCTTGTTTGCCAGGAAGATTTGTCAATTTCCATTCTTTGCCAGGAAGAAGAACCTCCAAAGTGGACATCTCAGTTTTCCACTGATCTGTGACGTGCATCATGCCTTAGTTATAGTTTCTAGCATGAACTCCAGCAGTTTTGCGCCAGTCTGTGGACTTGACCATGACCATTTTCGACACCTCAGACCTCAGGTTTGGTTCTGTCCATGAAGCAAGTGCCTCCAAAGTGGACATCTCAGATTTCCATTGATCTGTGAAGGACATGATGCCTCAGATTCCAACATGATTTCAGATTCAGTCTTGCGCCCATCCATGCAACAGCATCATGGTCCTGCTGAGGTTTGGTTCTTCGATGCAGAAATCAAGTTGATTTCTTTCAGCTGCTTGAAGCCACCGTTCTTTTTCCACCTGCAGCATCCTGCGGCTTTGCCAATTTGTGAGTTGCTGGTGAGTCCTTTGTTAGGAGACAAACATGTGCCAGATGCAAGATGCTGGAGAAGAGGCAGGACTCAAAATGCATTTGCTGTTCCAGGTTTCCCTTCTCTGCTTTGTAGTTTCAGAATCAAGTGTGAACTTCAAGGCGGGAACATTGCAGCAGATCCTGCTTGTTCAGGCTCAGTCAGGCGGTCCGGGGAATCAATTGAATGCAATGTTTGTTTTGTGGCGGTAAAAGCCACTTCCAGTTGTCCTGACCCCTGCATTTCAGCTGAATTTCCATTCTGTGTGGAATCAGGTCTAACATGGTCAATGGTTGCGAGCAGCTCTTCATGGCCGAACTGACTTGTTTTTGCATTGCTTTTGCTTGCACTTGGTCTCATTGCTGCTCCTTTCGCCTGTCATGAGCCTACCACTGCACTGTTGCCATTTTAGATGTCAGTTGCTGGCATTCCCTGTCATGTGTTCTGATCAGAAAAGAGGCAATTATAAACGCCATTTTAACATTGAGAAGCCATCAAGACTTGCACAACATCAAAACATTCGCTATCCATGTTCCTATGACAGAAGTCTGCTCGATCACTCGATCACTTTCAATTCAAGCCATGTCAGATCCGAATCCGTGGCCCAGCAAGTTTCAGCGCCAATTGGACCTGGCCAACAAGCAAATCTCCATTGTCTCATGGGGCATCGACTTCCGCTATCGCGTTGGGTCAGGTTACAAGCTGGGGCGTGAATGCGTGCCATACAAATTGATCCAAGAGTTTGGTGATGCTGCAATTATCCAATCGGATGTGAGGTCAACGTGGAAATCAGACCCCAATGGCAAGTACACTTTGGAGGAGATGTGCCAGACCGATGAATGCAAGGAACTACTGGGTCAGTGGCTATCCACAATTGCTGGATGGGTCCAATCATCCACAAACCAATTCTTGGTCCTCTCGATCACTTGCTCCTTCCAATGCACTAGCTCTATCTTTCAAAATCAATGGTCAACATTTCAATCTATTTGAAAAACAATCTTGCAAAGTCATTGCCCCAGTGCCTCAGGCTCCAAAGGCAGGCATCGCTCTATGACAGTTGCCTCTTGCCTTGCGTGGATGCTGGATTGCGCTTTGTATTTGCCTAGCTTGGATGACCGCGGGAATCTTGCTTGCAAGAAGCTGATGACATCTCACATCTATCATCTGACAGCAGCATCTGGCATTTATCATCTGACAGCTTCTGTGGTGTTTGGTAATCAGTTGCCTTTGAATCTTTGCTGCCTGCTAGGATCCAATGCATTGGAGGGGCCGTCTCCCACAATGAGGTGGAGGACTTGGGTGTTGCAATCCAGAACTACCTAGAGGATACCCGGCTGCATTGGCTAGAGGATTTGCGGGCAGCCAATGCAGACCTTGAACAGTGCCTTAAAGCCACACCCAAGCAGACGCAGACTCAGAAGAATGATGACGGGCCTGATGAGTGGGTACCATGGATGCACTTGCCATGGATGCATTTGCCATGGATGCACATCACTTTCACGAATGCGCAGTTGTTGCCACTGGACATCCCTCAGGTGAGGCAGCAGCTGCGACAGGAAGTGCCTGCCCTCGCTTTTTTTTGGAAAAGCTTGGGGTTGATGCCGTTGCTTGTGCTGTATCTTGGCTCAACTTGTTTGTCTGTTGATCTGGTTGTTGTCAGATGCTTTCAGTGGGCCCAGGCATGTCTGAACCTGGCCATGTACAATGACGAGGGCAGGGACTATGCAAAAAATCTAGCGACGAAACTGGGCCGACCCTTTGCTTAAACTTGCTTACTTGGCTGTCTGCCTTCTTTCCAAATTCCAAGGTTCAGAATTTCAATGTGATGTTCCCGAACTTAAGGTGAACTCACTGCAGACAAACAACTGCATGGGCCGAATGCAGCTTCCAAAGTGGTGATGTGCCATGTCAATGAGAAGCTCGGTTGGATCCGGACAGATTCCTCGAACTATGACTACTACAAGAATTTCAAAAGGTCCCGGAATCACGGTCAGAGCTGGAGTTCCAAGTGAGCTGTCCCAGCTGTCCAACTTTTCAAGACAGCAAACCTGAAGGAGATGACCAGTGTCAGTTGTCTCAAATGTTCGCTGCCAGATGGATTTTTTGACTCAGCAATTGAATTGATTGCCGGAGAAACAAGGCAGTCTACAATTGGTCTTTGCAGTTTGTTCTGCAAATAACAGACCCATTGGAATCGCCAAGAAAAAAATCAGCTGCAATCCAGAGGGTCAGTTTCGTCAAACTTGTCATGATCAAACAGTGACCACTTGGTGTGTTTTTTGATGTTTTTTGTCATTGCCCTGTCGCAAGCCAGGCTTGAACCTCTTTACTCCGCGACAGGCCTGGTGCAAGCCTGACATGCTCTGTGCAGTCTT